GAATATGTGAATACTTTTTTGAAAGTCAAACAGGAAGCCAGTGGTTGGCCAGACTGGTGTAAAACAGAAACAGACCGACACAAATACATCCAAGAGTATTTTGATAAAGAAGGTATTTTACTAGATTATGATAAGATTGAAGAAAATCCTGGTCTGAGACTTTTAGCTAAAATTATTCTTAACTCTTTCTGGGGGAAATTTGGACAACGTTCAAACCTTACGCAAACAACCTTTATTGATGATCCCGTTCAGTTCATTGATATGATGACCTCAGACCAACAAGAAATCAAGAACGTACGCTTCATAAATGATGAAGCAGTCCAGTTAGACTGGGCATATAATACTGATTTCATAGAAACATCAGGTAGAACCAATGTTGTTGTGGCTGCATACACAACCGCTCAAGCCCGTTTGAAATTGTATAGTTATTTACAAGCGCTTGGAGACAGAGTTCTGTATTGTGACACTGATTCTGTTGTGTTCACCTCTTCCCAGGGACAGTGGGAACCCGCTTTAGGGGACTTCCTCGGAGATTTAACAGATGAAGTTCCTAACAATCAAATAACTAAATTTGTGACAGGGGGGCCTAAGAACTATGCGTATTGTTTAGAAAAGCCAAATAAAAAAGGTCAATCTTCCATTTGTAAAGTACGGGGAATTACGCTAAATTTTAAGAATTCACTGGACATTAATTTTGATACACTGAAAGATATGGTAACGGGACAGATGCAAAACCAATGCGTTAAGGTTGTAGACATAAATAAAATCGTTAGAAACAGAGAAATGTGTCACATCATAACAAAGACAGAAATAAAAGACTATAAAATTGTGTTTGACAAGAGAGTGATCTCTGAAAACTACAATTCGTTCCCTTACGGTTATTAATAATGTATTGAGAATCACAATATTAAGTTTATTATTAGCGTATTTACTTGAAAGTATATGCATTGTATTTATGTATTTTACATTTGTTTCTTGCATTATCTATGTTGTAATAACTGTAAATAAAATACGTCTAAAGTCACAAAATCTTGTTCTGTTTTTCATGTTCGTTTTATTTACCCCACAGACTGTAAGTTTAAGAATGTAGACATCTCCACGTCAACTTTTGCATAGAAAATAGTGTGTAACAAAACAGGCCGTTTGTATTTAAAGTGTACGCTTAGTTTCAGCGTAGTTGCATTTCAAAAGGCCGAGTTAAATTATTTTCGTCTGATATGAAATACTTATTTTACTTCACGGAGGGTTTAACCCGCCCGATACCTTTAATTGGAAAAAGGGCGTCTGCTAGATATACACCAATATGGCGGCGCGCTGTCGTTACGCTTGGGTGATTTCATTTTTTTACTCAAAAAAAGTGGCCTATCCTTCGCCCCTTGACTACTTCTCCTCATAAACCACTAAGCCAATTTCATCCAAACTTCACAGGAATGTTCCTTTGGTGGTCACCTTTAAAAATTGTTCAAAGAATTTAATTCCATGCAGAACTCTGGTTGCCATGGCAACCGAAAGAAAAAACTTTAAATACCTTCTTTTAAAAAACCCTAAGAGCTAAAGCTTAGATATTTGGTATGAAACATCTTCTAATGAGTGTCTACCAAGTTTGTTCAAATAAAAGCCCTGTGGTCAAAATTGGCCCCGCCCCAGAGGGTCATTGATTTTCCTTAAATGTGTATAGCAAAAACTTAAAAAAATCTTCTTTGAAAAAACCCAAATAGCTAGAGTTTAGATATTAAGCAAGAAACATCTTCTAGTGAGTGTCTACCAAGTTTGTTCAAATAAAAGCCCTGGGGTCAAAATTGGCCCTGCCCCAGGGGGTCTTTGATTTTCCATATATGCATATAGTAAAAACTTCTTTTAAAGAACCCTAAGAGCTAGAGTTTAGATATTAGGCATGAAACATCTTCTAGTAAGTGTCTACAAAGTTTGTTCAAATAAAAGCCCTGTGGTCAAAATTGGCCCCGCCCCCGGGGGTCATTGATTTTCCTTATATGTGTATAGCAAAAACTTAAAAATCTTCTTTGAAAAAACTCATATAGCTAGCGTTTAGATATTAAACATGAAACATCTTCTAGTAAGTGTCTACAAAGTTTGCTCAAATAAAAGCCCTGGGGTCAAAACTGGCCCCGCCCCAGGGGTGTCATTGTTTTTAACTATATGTGTATAAAAATCTTTTTTGAAAAAAACCCTTATAGCTAGAGCTTAGATGTTTAGCATGAAACCTCTTCTTATGGGTGTCTACCAAGTTTGTTCAAATAAAAGCCCTTTGGTTAAAATTGGCCCTGCCAGGGGGGGGGGGGGGGGCGGAGGCCTATATACAGGTGATCGACCTCAGGGCCATCATGGCCCTCTTGTTTTACCTTGTGCTTGCTTGAGTGTCATGAAAAGTGCTTGTAATAGTTGATTAAGTAGATGAAGACCTTGGTGGACATTTATGCTCAATAACAGCATTTAACACAGCCGAATTACTATCTATTAATTCAGAGAGTTCACTGACTGTTATTGTCACTGGGTTATAATAGAGAAATAAAGAATCCCTAAAGAAAGATTATGCGCAATAACACGAATAAATAAACTGTATAAATAAAAGTTTAAAGTGCTTTATCGAACGAAAGAGATTGAAACTATTTTTGTCAGATGAGATATATCACTTAATGTTCTAAATCTATACATTTATTAATGTAATCGGCAATAAAATAGAGGAATACAGAATCCCTAAAGGAAGCACAAAACGACAAAATTGAAAATGTTGCAGGCTCGGTTTGATTGAGCCTGTTCATGGACGGTAATGGAAAGTGCAAGTTACCGTCCACGCCCCTAGCACCGGCTTAAGCAGAATTCAACATTTAACACAAAAATGGTGAACTTTTGAATTTCGAAACATCCGCAGATGTGTTCATACGGCGGTTATCATGGAACCTTCAATGTGACACAGTGTCAGTAGTGCCATTCAATGAAAAGCGGCGTATGGTCCCCAAGTAAAAGAATTCTTGTGCCCTAAACGAGAAAACAATTGGTGGAACTAAATCAAATGGAATTTTGAAAGGGTGATTAAATTTGTCTTTTCCAGCCATTTTCTGTAGTTAAAATGAGAAGTTCTATTACTCTGAAAGTTTGGGCAAAATAGAATTACGTGTTATATTAATTGAAATGGTAGGGTTATTTTCTTCACTATAATATATACTATGTATGTAAAAAATATGGAAACCAAGTGATTGATAAGTCTTTATTGAGAGGAACAAACATCTTAAATAGCTTAGCTCAAAGTGCATCGGAAGCATTAATTACAACAAAATTACATGAAAATTAAAGACTGTTGAGTAATGAGTTTATTATCACATGCCGAATAGGATTTTACTCTGTTCTTTTGGGAAATTTAAGTCAATGAAACCTTATAGTTTTTTTTTGTATATAAATCTACACATTGGTTCTCTTATACAGTCGAAAGGAAACAAATAGAATCACACAATTGAAAGAAAAAAAACCCTCTTATAAGCATGTGTTAACAATTGGCTAATTGCATACAGCATGAAGCGAGCGAATTCATTGTAGTACAGTGCACTGATGAAAAGTGTATGCCACGTTCTATCCCCTTAATCAAAGTTTACTTAGATACTACTGTACAAGTACTTCAATCATATAATTGAAGACACTATCAGCTTTATATCTAAAACAAATGAAAAATGTTTAAAACAATATGAATATCTATTGATAAGTCTTTGTTGAGAGGATCAAACAAGTCTCCTGTCCCCTTCCCCTTTGTGGGCCTAATTTTATTTTCTTTGAATTCCTAATCAGTTACAAATTAATTATCATTTAATGATTAACCTGTCCGTGCTCTGTCTTTGCCCTGTCCTGTTTTTGTTTGGGGTCCCCCTGGGCTCCTTGCCATTGGTTCTTGTTGCTGGGTCATGTGGGGGTTGCGTTCATTGAACGCCGCCTTTCCTTGTTGATCTTGTTTGTCATATTTTAGCAAAGTATGTGATGATAGGATCTCGCGTCTATAAATAGCACTTGTAAACTTAGTACTCTACTATTAGCAGTTACTAAGACGTAACCTCCCTTAAAGACATTTTCTTCAGTTTTATGAAAATTTAATCCTTTCATAGAATTTTCTAATTTTTTTGTATGGTAAGTAAAATTTAATGGCAAATTCAAAAAGAAAAAGAAAAATGTATGTTGGCGTGTTGGATTTCTTGTAAAATGGCAGTTTCCATGGTAACCGTATATCTCAAAACTGTCAAAATAGCCAAACTGTGTTTTAACAAATAGAAACTGTATAAGATAGGTAAATACACACAAAAACATTGTTTTATGCTAATATAGCCTTATACAATGATTCTGTATGAAACAAATGATAATCTGAACATATTTCTTTAAAAAATGAGTTTTCCATCCTCCATAACTGAACAAAAAATGAGAAAAATAAACATGAATTCTGTAAGTAATTAAAGATATTGAAAAATTTGTTTCATAGGATTCTCTAAATTTTTTGTATATTGTGTAAAATTTAATGACAAATTCAAAAAGAAAAATATATGTTGACGTGTTGGATTTTTGAAAAATGGCAGTTTCCATGGTAACCGTATAACTCAAAATAGCCAAACTGTGTTGTAAAAATGTATAAGACAGCTTATTACACACACGATAAACATAATTTTTAACAAAACTTGCTTTATCTAAGGGTTTTGTGTAAAACAAACGATAATCTGAACATATTTCTTTAAAAAGAGTTTTTTCATGCTTTTTAACTGATCAAAAAAATGAGAAAAATAAACATGAGTTATATAAATAATTAAAGCTATCAAGAAATTTCTTTCATAGAATTTTCTACATTTTTAATATATCAAGTAAAATTTAATGGTAGATTCAAAAATAGAAATAAAAATATATGTTGACGTGTTAGTTTTTTTGTAAACGGGCAGTTTCCATGGTTACCACATGTCAACTCTCACGCTTTACCACATTTTCTTAAGAAATATCAGTGTTATACTAAATGCACTGTCATATATACAACAAAAAGATGTTGTAATATAAATTTCTATTTCTTTTGATAATATATTAAGTAAATGATACTGAATATGTTTTTAAAACAGGTTATATAAGGCCATTTTAATTCTTCACTCGACTAACATACCCGAAGAGTGAGCAAGTATTCAGAAATTTATAAAGAAAATAATGAAAATCGGAACATTTCTTAGATATTATTTTTGTTTTTTATTCAACATTTTAAGAATATACCATTTCAAACATTTTTGCCCACTTGTCTGGCAGTAATCAAGTGTCGACGCACTTTCGTCACTATACCACAAGTGGGTGGGGTAACGCGCGCAAAATCATCATCAATGCTGTCATACTAAAGCTAGGAGAAATGCTATATGATGTTGTCTAAATGACCTCCTATTCTTTTGAACCGATCTCCTGAACATTTAGAAATATCTATTCTATATTATTTACTCATTATTTGCTTATAGCCGAAATTTAAACAGTTATCCGAGTACCATTCAACTTGACCTTCTTTTTGAAGAGTAATTGTCCGTGGTTATCTTTCTTGGAAGCGCAAAACGATGCGCACAAAAAACTACCGAAAACGTCTTTAAATCTAAGATAAAAGAAATAAAGGATATTGAATGAATGTAAGTTTAATATTGCATTTATTGAACAAATAAGATAATATTATGCGAGCCTCGTATGTCTTTATAGAACGTAAATGACGTCACCTTAAAATATATGAACGGCCGTGTAATACCATATTTACGGAAGCAAAATCGGCACGGGTATGTGATAAATAAATTCAAGGCGAATGAATATGTGTTGACTTTATCTCGATGTATTCAAAAAACTTAGAAATAAAAGAAAAGGAGAATCTGAAGTCTAACACGCTTGTAGCACCAGAATGAAGCACATTTTAGTTGCTTTCGTCATTGCTCATTCATTCACAGATTGAATACTACGTTTCCTACAATGACTTTATGTAATAAGTAAATACATTGATATTTTATGCTAATGAATGAATAAAAAGATACTGCCAAATGTATTTTATGCTCAACCAAACTAGTTCCACCATCACTTAAGGAAGTTCTGGATAATTAAACATCACCTCAAGAAGAAATAAAGCAAAACATGAATGAAATAAGACAACGTGATGTTAAGTGTATTCTAGTATAGAGCATTGTACAACATCACAAGTGTTAACATGATAGAAAGCTATGAATGAACACTATCCGGCACCAGGAACATGGACCTTGCCACATTTTAAACCTATGTCTAATTATGTAAATGCATTATGTTGTGTCGTAAAACTAGAAACAGATTAATG